TTGACAGGAAACTGCCAGAGGTTTAATTATTCCTGATGTCAGATGTGTCTTGGCTGAAAGCAGAGAATACCAGAAAGATGTTAACCTGTGCCTTACTGACTATGCAAAGTCTTTCTACTGTGTGGATCATGACAAACTTTGGACAACATTGCAGAGAATGAGTATTCCAGAACACTTACTTGTGCTCATGATGGTGGTGGTTATATGCCATGGAGTTGGTTCTGACTCATAGCGACCCTGAACAGGGTTACCAAGGTTATAAATCTTTACAGGAGCAGAAAGCCTCATCTTTCTCCCATGGAACAGCTGGTAGTTTCGAACTGCTGACCTTGTGGTTCGCAGGCTGATTCATAACCATTACACTACCAGAGCGTGCTCATGAGGAACCTGTATATAGACCAAAAGGCAGTTATTTTTTTAAAAGAACAGGAGGAAACAATGTTTTAAAATCAGGAAAGGTGTGCACCAAGGTTGTATTCTTTCATCATACTTATTCAATCTGTATGCTGAGCAAATAATCCCAGAAGCTGGATTATATGAATAAGATAGACATAGAGTCGGGATTGTGATATGCAGATGATACAGCCCTGCTTGCCAAAAATGAAGAGGACTTAAAATATTTACTGATGAAAATCAAAGACCACAGCCTTTGGTATGGATTACACCTTAATGTAAAAAAACCAAAAATCCTCACCACTGGAGTAGTAAATAACGTCATGATAAACGGGGTAAAGAAGTTGTCAAAGCTTTCATTTTACTTTGTTCCACCACCAACACTCATGGAATCAGCATTTAAGAAATCAAATGATGTACTGCATTAGGCAAATCTGTTGCATAAGACTTATTTATAATGTTTAAGAGCAAAGTTGTCAGGTTCAGGACTAAAATGCACCTGGTACAAGCCTAAGTATTTTCAATAGCCTAATATGCATGTTAAAGTTGGACCATGAATATTGAAGACCGTAAAAGAATTGGGCCATTTGAGTTATGGTGTTGGAGAAGAATATTGAAGGTACCATGGACTGCCAAAGAACAAACAAATCTGTATTGGAGAAAGTACAACCAGAATGCTCCTTAGAAACCAAGATGGCCAGACTTCATTTCTCATACTTGGTACATATTATCAGGAGGTACCAGTCCTTGGCAAAGGACATCATGCTTGGTAGAGTGGAGGGTCAGCAAAAAAGAAGAGACCCCAATGTGATGCACAGTGGTAGCAGCAATGGCTCAAGCTTAGCAAAACAGGGCAGTGTTTCATTCTATTGTACATAGGGGCACTATGAGTTGGAACCACCTAGGTGGCACCTAACAACAACATATTTATTACCCATCTGGCTGTTTGTCATACCGTAGTGGCTTGAGTATTGCTGTGATGCTTGCTATGCTACCCATATTTCACATACCAGCAGAGTCACCCAGACTGAACACCTTTCAGCAGAACTTCCAGACTGAGAAAGACTAGGAAGAAAGGCCTGGCAATCTATTTCTGAAATCAAGTCAGTGAAAACCTTCTGGATGACAGCAGAATATTTTCTCATGGAGTGTTATAATCCTGAAGATGTCGCAGGTCTAGGCAATGTTTCATTCTGTTACACATTAAGCCGTCAGGAATTGGAGCTAACTTGAACTAACAACAGCATACTTGTAGCTTCAAAAGTATGTGAGTGACACAATTATTAATAAAAGTATTTTTCTTTGCAACTTTTGCTTTATTGTTATTGTTAAGTTCTGTAGAGTTGGTTCTGACTCATAGTGACCCTGTATAGGGTTTCCAAAGAGTTGCTGGTGGGTTTAAACTGTTAACTTTGTGATTATCAGTCCAGTGCTTATTCTACAGTGCCACACCAGGACCCCTTAGATTTACAGAATCCAGTCAATACGTTATTTACAAAGTTACTTTGATTCTTCTTTTTTTTTTTCTTCATACTCTTCAGTATGGTTAAGCTATTCATTTATAATGCAATTAGTTCATTTGCTACTACATACACTGCACTTTGAGTCCCCTCCTACATCCTGGTTTCATTTTAGCTATTCGTTTTTATGGCTATGTAAAACATTGCTAGGTTTCTAAGACTCAAAGCTATGCAAAGGTATACTTACAGAGCTTTTACTCCTTCTACTTCCCTACCATCGGATTCCTATTCCATCTTTATTTCCTGATCTACCTCTTATAAGTAACCATTCTATTTAGTTTTGTGCTTATCCTTCATGTATTTATTTATTTCCTACAGATTGGCTTGTTCTTTTGGAGATTCATGGTGTCTATAATAGCTATAAAATGCCATATGCAATGAATCAATTCTTCTGTGGTCTTCTTTATTCATGATCCAACTTTCACATGCAGATGAGGGTACCAAAGACACCATGACTTGGGTCAAGTGCATCTTAGTCCTCAAACTGACATCTTTGCTCTTGAACCGTTGAAAGATGTCTTGTGCAGCAGATTTGCCTAATGAAATGCATCATTTGCTATCTTGACTTTTGCTTCCATGACTGTTGATGGTGGATTCAAGTGAAATGAAGTCTTTGACAACTTCAATCTTTTCTCCGTTGCTCTTGATGTTATTTATTGGTCCAGTGGTGAGGATTTTGGTTTTCTTTATGTTGAGGTGCAACCCATACCAAAGGCTATGGTCTTTGATCTTCATCAGTAAGCATTTTAAGTCCTCTTCATTCTTAAGCAAGGCTGTATCATCTGCACAACACATTGTTGTTAATGAGTTTTCTTCCAATCCTGATACCACATTTTTCTTCATATAATCCAGCTTCTCAAATTATTTGCTCAGCATACAGAGTGAACAAGTATGGTGAAAGAATACAGCCCTGGAACATAGCTTTCCTAAACCATTCAGTGTTCCCTTGCTGTCTTTGAACAACTGCTTCTTGGTCTATGTACAGGTTTTTCATGAGCACATTTAAGTGTTCCAGAATACTCATTCTCTGCAGTGTTTGTCATGTGCCACACAATTGAAATCCTTTGCATAGTTAATAAGGACATCACACTTTAAACACTCTTGTGCACTCTGGGGGTTTTAACTCGTTATTTTTCTTACTTATGTACTGTGTCCTAGAAATCACTCTTTATCAGTGAATAGGGATCTACCTGACCAGTTTTTTTTTGTTGTTGTTGTTTTTACAGCTGCAAAAGAACTCACTGTATGGATGTGCCATAATTTACGTCATCTTTCCTTGTAATTTAATTTAATTCCCCCTCCTCATATTATGTAATTATAAATAATACTATAATTAATACCATTTTACATATGAATTTTAGTCTTGTTGGAGGTATATCTTCAGTGTAAGTTCATAGAACAGTAATTGTTAGGTCCAAAGTTAAGTGCATATATAGTTTTCTTAGATTTTGCCAAATCCCCCTCCAGAGTGTTAGGAATGATTTGCATTATCTGAAGCAATGTATATTTTCTCCACAGTCTTGTCAACAGAATGAGCTGGCATACTCTGACTTTTGCCAGTTTTATTAGAGAGAAATGATGTTGGTGAGCTGGTCTAAATTTCATTTTTCTCTTTAGGACTAAGTTTGAACAGCTTTTTATGTGTGTTAGGGCCATTCTCTTATCTTTTTCATTTATTGTTTATTCATGTCATTTTGAAATTTCTCCATAGAATTATTGGTGGCTTATGTATCAATGCTCAAGAATACTTTCCTTATTAATGAGCTTAGCTCTTCCTCACATTGTAAAGTTTCCTCTTAGTATTTTACTTTGTTTATGCTGTTTTTTGCCATGCTCCCCAAAATACTTTTAGCAATATTTTTATTGCTTCTGGTCTTTGAGTCTTAATTAGAAAGTTTTCCCCTCCAGTTAGGTTAAAGAAGAATTCACCCCCCGCTCCATGAAAACCTCTGTCTTAATAATGTTCAGAAGAGTCAGAATCAGTGAATTGAGTTTGGAACTTCCATAATGACTGAAAATTGAGTGGGAAATTCCTAAAAGGAGGAAGTCACAGAGAGAGGAACTTCAGCATAGGTGTATGAGTACCACTCAAATCCTTAACTGATACCTGAAATACAAAGGGGGCTTCAAAATTTCATGGAAAAATATGATTGAAAAATCGTGGAATTTTTCCACAATCTTATTGAAGCCCTCTTATATACATGAGTAGAAAGGATTCAAAGATCCCAAGACCTCTTTAATCTGGAAGATTTAAAATGCTGAAGAGAATTTAACCATTGCTGAGACATAAAGGACAGAATTTGTAGTTTGAATCTTTCCAACTTAGAGGGATATGGTAAATTCAATTGGCTTTTAAGATTCAGGAAGGACCATGCCTTAGTGGTAAAGGTAAGACCAAAATAGACTAAATGAAAACTAAGCTAGATCCTTCTTAACAAGCATGAAACCATGCCTCCATAAATTCAAGGTTGTTGTTGTCATTGTTAATGTAAGTGCCATTGGTTCCGACTCATACTGACCCTGTATAGGATTTCCAAGGAATAACTGGTGTGTTTAAACCACCAATCTTAGGTTAGCAGGCCAGTGCTTATCCTATAGGACCACACCAAGACTCCAATTCAAGGTTATATACCAACAACTTAGCTAATGACTCAATACTCTTCAGAGAAAGATAACAGTATTCAGAATTACTATAATTTACAGGATCGGCACTGGACTGTAAATCACAAGGCTGGCAGTTCAAACCCAGCAGCTGCTCCCTGGAAATCCAATACAGGGTTGCTGTGAGTCTAAGCTGACTCCATGGCACTTAGCAACCACAACAACAACAGTGTCTACTCTATCATAGGAGCCTTGGTGTGGCACCAAGATCATAAGGTCAGTTTAAACTGCAAGGTCGATGGCTCAAACTCACCAACTGCTATTTAGAAACTCTATACAGGGTTATTATGAGTCGGAAACAACTCAACGGCACTGAACAACAACAACAACAACAGCAACAACTATATAATAATGACTTGGAAGTGACTGGATGGCACTTAACAATAGCAATAACAACACCATATAATAAAAAATTAGACAGCCACAGCCGTGGGCTCGTATCGTCAGGAAGGGCCTAGGCCCGGGCCTGCTGTGTGGGCTCTTGCCGGTGCCTGGGCTCACCTCTTGACGTTCCCTCTGCCGCAGTGTCACCTGTTTCACATCCCACTTAGAGTAGGCACGGGGAAGATTTGCTGGAGTCATGGAGGACAAGGTAGTCCGCATTGCCAAGAAGATGGACAAGATGGTGCAGAAGAAGAACGCGGCTGGAGCATTGGATTTGCTGAAGGAACTTAAGAATATTCCCATGACCCTCGAGTTATTACAGTCCACAAGAATTGGAATGTCAGTTAATGCTATTCGCAAGCAGAGTACAGATGAGGAAGTTACATCTTTAGCAAAGTCTCTCATCAAATCCTGGAAAAAGTTATTAGATGGGCCATCAACTGATAAAGACTCTGAAGAGAAGGAAAAAGAACCTGCAATCACATCGCAGAACAGCCCTGAAGCAAGAGAAGAAAGTAGCTCCAGTGGCAATGTAAGCAGCAGAAAGGATGAGACAAATGTTCGAGACACTTATGTTTCATCTTTTCCTCGGGCTCCAAGCACTTCAGATTCTCTACGGCTAAAGTATAGGGAGATACTTGCTGCTGCTCTTCGAACAGGAGACGACTACGTTGCTATTGGAGCTGATGAGGAAGAGTTAGGATCTCAGATTAAGGAAGGTATATATCAAGAAATAAGGAATACAGACATGAAATACAAAAATAGAGTACGAAGTAGGATATCAAATCTTAAGGATGCAAAGAATCCAAATTTAAGAAAAAACGTACTGTGTGGGAACATTCCTCCTGACTTATTTGCTAGGATGACAGCTGAGGAAATGACTAGTGATGAGCTCAAAGAGATGCGGAAAAACCTGACCAAAGAAGCCATCAGAGAGCATCAAATGGCTAAGACAGGTGGAACCCAGACTGATTTATTCACATGTGGCAAATGCAAAAAGAAGAACTGTACTTACACACAGGTACAAACCTGTAGTGCTGATGAACCGATGACAACATTTGTTGTCTGTAATGAATGTGGAAATCGATGGAAGTTTTGCTGAGTTGGAAGAACTGGCAAGATGTTTGGACCATTAAGAAAATGGATTTTGTAATTAGCTTTAGAACTAGGCCAAGCAACTAGTTTTCCTGCATATCAGATTTTTAAAGCATACATACCTTGGGTTAGTCTTGGTTTTTGACATAACATCCCTTCCTTTAATGCCTTCCGTAGTTTCAGATCAATAAGGAAACCATGTAATAATTGTTCTCGTTCCAAAAACAAGTGGGATTTCCCCCCATTTACTTATAAGTAAATTGACATTAAACTTTTATCAACTAAAAAAAAAAAAAAATTACCAGGCATGTAAAGAAATGAGAAAATATGATCTATAATCAAAGGAAAATGTAGTCACTAGAAGGAGACCCAAAAATGATCCAGATGTTGAAATTAGCAGATAAGAACTCTAAAGTATACATATTGTTGTTGTTAAGTGCTGTCAAGTTGATTCTGACTTATAGTGACCCTGTATAGGGTCTCCAAGGAGCTGCTGGTGGAGTTGAACTGCCAACCTTGTAGTTCACAGTCCAGTGCTGATCCTATGTATGAAATAATCAGGAAGAAAATATGGATATAATGGATGAAGACATAGGGAATTTCAGATTTTTGGAAACTCTTAAAAAAAAAAAAAAGAACCAAAGTGAAGTCATAGGGGGAAGTACAAATTGGATGTAGGATTAACAACAACTTGAATACAAAGGAGGAAAAGGTGAGTGAATCTCAACACAGATCCATAAAAATATTCAAACGAAAGCATAGAGAGGGGAAAAATCAATAAAATGAACGGAGCTTCATGCCATATGTGGCAGTATTATGCACTCTAACATACCTGTAATTGAAGTCTCATGAGATGAAAGGAAGAATGGAACAGAAACTATTTGAAACAATACTAGCCACCTTTTTTTTTTTATGATCAAAAAATGGTAATATGCAAATCCATAAAACTCAGCATACTTCAACCAGGGGATGTTTAAAAACAAACAAACCAAAACCCAAAAGTATATTATAGTAACCTGCTGGAAATGAAAGATAAAGGATAAATTTAAAACTAGTCTGAGAAAGAAAAACATTAAATACAGGAAAACAAGGGTAAGAATGGTGACTGATTTCTCATCAGAAACCATAGAGACTGGAAGACATTGGAAAGACTTCTTTAAAGTGTTGCTAATAGGAATATAAAGCAATACAAAAATGCTGTCTATCTAGAGTTTGGTCTAGAGTACATTGACAGAGAATTTCCAAAGGTTCAGACTGGATTCAAACAACTAGGTGGATCAAAGGATATCATTGCTAATGCCAGAGGGATCTTAACTGAAAGCAGAGAATACCAGAAAGATGTTTACCTGTGCTTTACTGACTGCACAAAGACTTTTGACTTCATGGATCATGGAAAGCCATGAGACCATTAAGGCAAATGAGTATTCCAGAACACTTAAGTATGGTTGTGAGGAACCTGTACATGGACCAAGAGACAGTTATTTGAACAGAACAAAGGAATGCTGAATGGTTTAAATTCAGGAAAGGTGTACACCAGAATTATATTCTTTCACCGTACTTAATCTGTATGCTGAGCAAATAATTTGAGAAGTTGGACTATATGATGAAGAATGTGGCTTCAGAATTGGAGGGAGACTCATTAACAACCTGTAATATGTAGATGATACAACCTTGCTGAAAGTGAAGAGGACAAAATACTTACTGATGAAGATCAAAGACCATAGCCACTCCTTGGAAACCAATGTTAATAATTATATTAAATGAAAATGTACTAAAAAAATCTGAAAGGCAGACATTGTCATAAAGGATTAAACATAAGTAAGACCTATTTAAATGTTTTAAAGACAAAAAAAGGGAGAAATAATGGTATTACTAAGCATGGAATTTGTTAGCATGGGATTACTTAGCATAGAACTGCTAAGTGTAAGAAAACCTGTATTTCTATCAGGCAAACTGTAAGACCTTTCATGATGATTGATGTGTTACTTCATTCAAGAATACATAGTAATTCTAAATGAGTATGTACTATAATGCAGATTAAAAATTTATGATGCATATTTGACCTAAGTAAAGGGATAAATTGACAGTATGATAATTGATTAAACAAGTAGACAGATTGAATACAGAGGATGTGAACAACACTACAATCTAACTCAATTTACTTGACACATTCATACAAAAATATATCAAAATGTCTGGGTTGGTCATAATACAAGTCACAATAAATTTTAAGTGTTCAAATAATACAGAGTATAATCTTTTCCAACAATGGAATTAAATTAAAAATAGATAAAAAGGATACCTGGAAATTCTCCCAAATATTTGAATATTAGATAATGTTGCTGTTGTTAGGTATTGTCAAGTCGGTGCCATAATTCAAATGCATGCATTCTCTTCCGGTCTTCCTTATTTATTGCCCATGAATTCATTGTTTTATAAGCATGTTAGATGATTGAAAATTTCATGGCTTGGGTCAGGCATGCCTTAGTCCTCAAAGTGACATCTTTGCTCTTTAATATTTTAAAAGAGATCTTTGCATTGAGGTGCAATCCATATTGAAAGTTGTAGTTTGAAAAAATTTTTACCAGTAAATATTTTAAGTTCTCTTTGCTGCCAGCAAGCAAGGTTGTGACATCTGCAGGTTATTAGTGAATTTTCCTCCAATCCTGATGTAATGTTCGTCATATAATCCAGCTTCTTGGATTATTTGCTCAGCATACAGATTAAACTTCATCATTTCTTCTAGTAGTTTTAGCTTCTCTGTGTTCAAGAACAAGTTTCAGAGTCTTTTCTGACATTCATTTCATACTTTTTTTTTCTCTCCCATCTTGTTAATGACCTTTTGTTTTATTCATATAGGATATTCTTGATGTCATCATATTTAGGCAATGCATTTGTACATAATCTATGAATCCACAAAGTAATCACAAGGGGGATTATAAAGTATTCTAAACTAAATGATAATGATAAAAGAACATATCAAAATATATGAAGTGTGGCCTTAGAAGAAAATTTATAGCTTGAAATGCTTCTTTTAGAAAATAAAAAGATATTATATGAATGATGTAAGGTTCTACCTTAAAAAGCTAAAATATAAGCGCAAAATGAATAGAAGAAAGGCAACTGTAAAGATAAAACAAAATCAATGACAGAAAATAAATAACATAGAATATTAACAAATTCAAGGGTATCCTTTGAAATAATTATCTTCTAGGAAGAAGATAGAGAAAGTACAACTTACCAATATCAGGAATGAATGAAAGAACATCATAACATACTAATTGTATGGGCATTAAAAGTACAATAGGGAGTAGAGTGGAACTGTAGGATAAGTACTGGACTGCTAACCACAAGGTCAGCAGTTCAAACCCACCAGCTGCTCCTCAGAAACCCTATATGGGGTTGCTGTGAATTGGAACTGACTTGAGGGTACTTAACAACAACAAGGAACAACTTTATTCATTAAATTAAATAACTTAGAGAATTGTACACATTCATGAAAAAAATTGCAAAAAATTTGGAAGATATACTAACTTAATTGAATTTGCAATAGAAGAATTTCCAAGAATTCTCCAAGTGGATATGGTCATACTAGTGAATCCTATAAAAAGTACAAACTCTTTCAAAAGCCAGTATATGACTGATGCCAAAAAAATTTCTAAGTAAATAACCAAGAACAAAAATTAAGGACTAATATTTCTTACGGACACAAAACTACATTAAGAAAATATTAGTGATTTAATTCAGCATCACTTAAAAAGGGTAATACATCATAAGCATGGTTGGTCTAACGTTCAAATATCAGTCAATGAAATTCACAATATAAACAAAATTGTATGTTGTTGTTAAGTACCAAGGAGTTGGTTCCGACTCATTTTCATATACTATCAATAAGTAACTGGAAAATAAACGTTAAAATAAACTTCAATTTATATAATTTTAAAACACCAGGAATACTTAGAAATTAATTTAACCAAGATATTTGCAACATCTGTAGAGTGAAGATTACAATACATTGCATAGGGTACTTAGAGCAAACATCAATAAATCATATCATGCCTATGGATAGAAAAACCCAATATTTCTATGCTGTTCATGGTCCCAAACTGATTTATATGTTAAGCATCATCTCAATAAAATTACCATCAATAATTTTTATAGAAATTGAAAACCTAATTTGGCAATTCATATGGAAGAGCAAATGGCCTAAAATAGTCAAAGTAACTGTACTGGTGACTGGAACCGCTGACCTTTTAGTTCAAATCGACTTTGCAGTCCAGTGCATTAATCCACAGTGCCACACCAGGACTCTATGTAGGTGGTGGTGGTGGGTATGTGCTGTGGAGTCAGTTAACACTCATAGTGACCCTGTATAGGGTTTCCAAGGTTGTAAATCTTTATGGAAGCAGAAAGCCTCATCTTTCTCCCATGGAATCTTTGGTAGTCAAACTGCTAACCTTTGGATTAACAGCCCAACCATAACTACTACACAAAAAATATATAGAGAAGTTTATTATCAAGGAAGTGGCTTACAATTGCAGAGTCCTAGGTCCCCAACAGAAGAGAGAGGGACAGAGACTTTCCCGGCATGTCACTGTATTGGGAGCAGGCCACACCCCCAAGGCCACATCCCTTTAATTGATTGGCTGTTCATAGCCACTCATCAGAATTAACTATGCCTGTATTAGGTTCATCACCAAGGAAGTAAGCACATCTCAACTTCCAAACTTCTGGCAATCTTGATCTAGTCAAGTTGTCATAGAACCCTAACCATTGAAGTCCACCCTTGACATCTATAAATTATATGCATAATCTCTAAATAAAGAAAATCGTAAAGTCATACTTGTGTCTAACATGATATAACTAAAACACATACAACTCAAAATGCACTGGCCCCATTTACATCGTATATGTTAAAAATGAACAAAGTAAAAATACTTGATGCATGTATACAGAACAAAACAATAAATATTTATTCATTTAAATGTTCACGGGGCACATGCTGCAAGTCAGCCTCCTGCCTGTTGGCACACAGCCTTACTCAGTCCATGGGTCTAGAGTCCACAGCTGTTCTGTCTTCTCCATTCTACTGCCTCTTCCACCGCCTCTGCTGTTGCTGCTTCTCCAAGCATGGTCCCATGCTCCAGTCATGCTCTTCCTTAATGATGCTCCTGGGATTGTCTGTTCCTGAAATGAAAGATAACTATTAACCAGACCCATGTATAAAAGAGGGAAACTATTCAGTCAGAACTCTCCCTTGTCCCCTCATT